TCCCAGGCTATTGGTCCCTGGATGTCATCATTCATTATCCGGTGTCTAAGGAAAGGAGTATATTTTTAGCAGAGGCAATGTTAAGAGATAGTGAGTCTGGGCAAGATACTAACATTTAGGAGGTAACAACATTGAACTAAAGCATTCACAGAGTCCAAGGATTGTGTGAAACTGTCCGACAGAATCCCAAGGAACAGTAAAATTTAAATGAACAGGCAGAGGAAGAAGGTTGTCATCACAGAAGTTAAAGAAGGCAGGCCAGGCACCATGGCTCACACCTGTTATTCTAGCACTCTGGGAGGTGGAGGTGGGTGGATCCCTTGAGCTCAGGATTTGGAAACCAGCTTGAGCCAGAGCAAGATCCTGTCTCTAAAAATAGCTGAGCATTGTGGTAGGTGCCTGCTGTCCCAGCTACTTGGGAGGCTGAGGCAAGAGGATCACTTGAGCCCAAGAATTTGAGGTTGCTGTGAGCTATGACAGTGCCATGGCACTCTAGCAAGGGCAACAAAGTGAAATTAAAAAAACAAAAACAAGAAGTTAAAGAAGTAGAACATTCTAAAAAGAAAATGACCAACAGTATAAAATACTATAGACCAAGTAACATGAGCTTGAAAAGTGTCCATTGGCTCGGCACCTGTGGCTCAAGCGGCTAAGGCGCCAGCCACATACACCTAAGGTGGCGGGTTCGAACCCAGCCCGGGCCCGCCAAACAACAATAATGGCTGCAACCAAAAAATAGCCGGGCGTTGTGGTGGGCGCCTGTAGTCCCAGTTACTTGGGAGGCGGAGGCAGGAGACTCGATTGAGCCCAGGAGTTGGAGGTTGCTGTGAGCAGTGAAGCCATGGCACTCTACCCAGGGGCTCAGCTTGAGGCTCTGTCTCAAAAAAAAAAAGAAAAGTGTCCACTGAATTTTTTTTTTTTCTGAGACAGAGTCTCACCTTGTCACCTTTGGTAGAGTGCCATGGCATCATAGCCCACAGCAATCTCAAATTCTTGGGCTCAAGTGATTCCTTGCCTCAGCCTCCCAAGTAGCTGGGACTATAGGCACCCACCACAGGGCCCAGCTATTTTTAGAGATGGAGTATCACTCTTGCTCAGGCTGGTTTCAAACCCATGAGCTCATATAATCCACCCACTTTGCCCTCCCAGAGTGCTGGGATTACAGGCATGAACCACAGCACCAGGCCTGTATCCACTGAATTTATAACTAGGAAATCACTGCTGTAGTCAGAGCAGTTTCAGTAAAGTGGTTAAAACTAGAGTAAAACTGAAGTGAACTGAGGAGTGAGCAGAAGATCAGGATATAGAGAAATTATGGGAAGACCTACTCTTTGACAATGTGGCTAATCTTCATCATTCCTATATATCTATGAAGGAAGGCTGTTTTTCCTAATTTTTTTATGAGTGAATAAGTATATTTATATATAGAAAATAAGAACAGCTAGTATTTAATAAAGTGCTTATAACTTGCCAGCACTATTCCAAGAACTTTATATAATGTTATCTCATTATTCTGCACAATAACTCTATCACATAGCATTTAGAGGTTAAGATCTGCTCAAGGTTATCCAATTATTCAGTAGCAGAGACAGGCAGACTCTGCAGTCTGACTCCAGAGTCCATACTCCTTACCACTACATTGCATTGGAGAGTCAGAGACCACAGCATCTGAGTCAGAGGGCCTCATACAACACAGGCGCTCAAAAATTAATTTACTCAAACCTTACATGATATATCCTCTTTTTCTTTCTTCTAAGGGAGAAAAAGGGAGAAACTCCTCTCAGCCTAAATACTATTTGAGGGTGATATTGAATTTACCAAGTACTAGGGAATCTAATGGGATAAGAGACAAGAAATCTGAATTCTAGTCTAATTCTGCCTAATTGCCATTTAATTTGGACAAACCATCTAGTAAGCCTATGCACCCTTCATTTTTCTCAGCTATAAAGTAAGTATGATAATTCCCAATCCACCTAACTTACAGTGTTAGTATGAGGTAAAACACTGTTACTAATACTTACAGTGTTAGTATGAGGTTTTCCTATAGGTAAAACATAGGAAAGTGCTTAGAAAAAATTTAAATGTCATGTGACCTGAGATTTTCTCATGTGATGATAATGTGAGCACCAAAAAGAACCAGTTGGGGGCAGCACCATGCAGCACTTTAGATCCTTGGAAAAGGCAGATCAGCTTTGGCAAGGCAGAGAGAAGGGCTAAAAATATATCTTCCAATTTCTCGAAAGAGAAACTTCTTGATCTGCTTCATCCTGCTTGATAATCCATCTTTGAAAAATCTCAAAATAAGGCAGAATGACAGCATAAGCACCATGCCTTCTTCTCTTCACTCTGTTTGAGTCTACCCAAGGCTCACATCTGAGATACCCATTTGGTGAAAAAAAACTGAGCCTGTGAACTCCAGGTTATACGGTGGCAAGGAAGCTGACATCTAATCACGCACGCATATTTCTTTAGCTCTGAGAGTCAAGAGCTCAGAAGAGATGGTTTGAAGTCTTTGGCATGGTGAGAGTGTGGCATGGAAGGCCTGTCTTCATGAGCCACTCAGGCTTCCCAATTGAGTGTCAGGCAGAAAAGACTGATGAAAAGCCTGTGTGTATGCTCTCTGCAGGCCAAGTGAGGCCAGGACATTTGGTTCTATTTCAGAGAGACATATTTCCTCTGCTCAGCAATGTCTCTAAAGGCCTGAGAACTCCACAGACCAAGCCACGGAAAGGAGAGAACAGGAAAAAGATGAGAGAAGATGAGGAATCACGCTGCTAGCAGATTCTGGCTTTTCTAGGTAAGATGGAAAATGCACACACCAAGAACTAGACAAGGAAAACAAATGGAATTTTCTTTTAAAACCCATTTCATTAGCCTGCCTTTGGTGAATACACTGGTGGGGCTGATAAGTCCCTTGGCCCTCAGAAACCACATCTCAGTATCTCAAGACTTTTGCATACATGAGGAACAGAATTTTGAGATCTGCCAAGACTTCTAAGTTGCTCCACACTAAATGTGCCCATTAGTTGGAATGTTCACTTCCCGACACTGCTCCCAGTGCACACTCAGCTGGTCTGGCCTCTGAACAAATAAATCCCCCTGCAGGAAGCAGAGACTGCACTAGCACATGCAGCTTTTCCGGATGGGGATAACAGCTGCTTTGCTTTCATTTTATTTCAGTCTGCTCCCTCAGGCAATGCTATAAAACAACCTAATGCCTTGGGCGGCACCTGGGGCTCAAGGAGTAGGGCACCGGCCCCATATACTGGAGGTGACAGGTTTATATCTGGCTCCAGCCAAAACCTGCCAAAAAAAAAAAAAAAACAACCAAATGCCTTGGCAATACATTCAAATAACTCAATAAAGAAACTTTAACATTTTTTATTGTTATTTTAAACTTTCAAGTTCAAAAAATTATGATATAGCCAACAGAATGTGTTCTAGGTACTCTAACACCCCTCAGTGACTATTACCTATACCAGCTTTACCTATATTAAAGCCCATCTTTCCTCCTCACCATCTAACAAAATACTGTAACAGCGTTTCTTCCATTTCTTTTGTGTCTGATACTTTATTTCATTGAAGATATACACCCTTTTCCTAGAAGGCATTCAATAACTTGGGAAATAAGTTATATTATGTAAGTAAATCTTTATTATTAAAATGCAAGAAATCATTATGCCAGTATCTTTTCTTAAATCACCAAAGGGAAAGATAAGTGGACATTCACTTCTGCGCTTAGGAATATCAGTTCAGATTATTTCTACAAACATTTCTTGAGTACACCTCCCTTTACTTCCATTACCCACATGAGAATAAAAACCTGTCTGTTTGCATCAACACTATATTCCTCAGTGTTTAGAGCAGTTCCTGTAATGTGGGTATATAAAGATGAACAACCCTTAGTTTACAGCTTGAAGATGTTCACAGAGAGCGATTTCAGTAAGCAAATAATACCATTAACTCTACAGCAGCATTAAACAGTGGCAGTATGAAAGTAGAGACTAACTGCCTGGGGAGTCTGGAAGGTTTCAGAGAGGAAATAACATCCGAGTTGGATCCTATAAAATACTTAGGAGTTGTTGCTATGGATGAATGTTTGTTGTGTCTTGCAAAACTCATGAATTTGCATGTCATGCTTGCACAGGGGCCATGCTAAACTTCTCAGTATCATTGCAACTTTATTTTATTTTATTTATTTGTTAAAGACAGAGTCTCACTTTGTCGCCCTTGGTAGAGCCCCATGGTGTCACAGCTCACAGCAACCTCCAACTTAGGTGATTCTCTTGCCTTAGCTCCTGAGCAGCTGGGACCACAGGTGCCCACCACAACGCCCGGCTATTTTTTGGTTGTAGTTGTCATTGTTGTTTGGCAGGCCCAGGCTGGATTAGAACCTGCCAGCTCTGGTGTATGTGGCTGGTGCCTTAGCTGCTTGAGTCACAGGTGCCAAGCCTCCTTTTATTATCTTGATTATGTAAAAGAGAATTTGAACAAAGAATTCTTCTAACATTTTGTTTTTCTGTTATTTTTGCTTTACACATGTTGGTCTTCTATTGGCTGTATCTGTATCAACATCTGCTAGGCAAAGCTTTTCTGGAGTTT